CTGGGCGAGCACTGGGTGAGAGACTTCTTTCAAAAACATAAAAAAATCATACTGACCTCAAACCTTTGAATGGTAATGTGTATTTTAGAGTTATTTTGCCTATACACTTAAGGGATACTTTCAAATAATTGATTTGGAGTAATTACACATTTGAAATTATGAAGTTTCACTTCACTTAATACTAAATAACACACTACAGTTAAAATTATAATAAAAAAAACTTACATGCTTTAGTATGTTAGTCAAAATAAGTAAACTTCTTTAAAGCACAACAAAAGATTATTAAAATATAAGGATTTAAACTGTACTAAAGTATGTTAAAAATACAATATGCCCTTATAAAAGTATCAAAATGTCCTTTAAAATCAATTCCAGGGGGAAATTCTTTCTGACATTGATATACTGTTGCTTTTAAACATGTGATAAATGGCTGCTAACTTACTTTCTACAACTGACAGGTGGCCATTGTTCAGTTCAGTGATGACGCCAGGACTGAGTTGAAGCTCAGCTCCTACAGCGATAAGGAGGCTCTGCTGGACGCCGTGCAGCGCATCACCTACAAGGGAGGAAACACCAAGACAGGCATGTATCTCAATCCTCAGAGTGAATTAAACGGCACTCACAGCTGCTCTTCATGCACACAAAATATATTTTTATCTTTCATTGAAAAAAATACCACACTCGCAGCTCCCTTTTTAAATTGCAAGTATGATATTGCTCTATCTATCTATCTATCTATCTATCTATCTATCTATCTATCTGATTACAACCTTAATTTTAAATAGGCGTGGGCTAATGGTTAGAGAGTCTGACTTGTAACCCAAAGGTTGTGGGTTCGAGTCTCGGTACCAGCAGGGATTGTAGGTGGCGGGAGTGAATAACCAGCGCTCTCTTCCACCCTCAATACCACGACTGAGGTGAGACCCTTGAGCAAGGCACTGAACCCCCAACTGCTCCCCGGGCCCCGCAGCAAAAAATGGCTGCCCGCTTCTCCGGGTGTGTGTTCACGGTGTGTGCGTGTTCACTACTCACTATTGTGTGTGTGCACTTGGAAGGGGTAAATGCAGAGCACAGATTCCGTGTATGGGACATCATACTTGGCTACACATCATGTCACTTTCACTTTTAAAAAAAAAACAACTAATGTATCTTATTTTAAGTATGTTTAGATATTTATACTGGAAAACCAGACATAAACAATGATAAAGAATTATATTTTTAATCTAAGGGTAAATTGGCCTTCAAAGCCAAGGAGCCAAGGAGACAAAACATCAAAGTTCTCCTCTAATATCCAAAATGGTTTTCCTGGTGGACAGCATGCTGGTCCAACAGGTAGATCTGGACCAGATTATAACTAACCAGCATAAACCAACTTCTACTGCACCAATTTGGAAATTCATGCTGGTCTTTGAGCAGTAAAATCTCCTTGTAATCTGTGTCCAGCTTTATTCATCCTAATACTTTTGCCAAACATTCTTTATTAATGTCCTGTTTAAGAAAACCAAGAGCAAGAACATCATAGTATGATTTTGAAAAGTGGCATGGCTCCAGCTCAGTGAGCAGCAGAGCAGCACGGTGTGTCCCTACGCTTGCGTTCGTGCTGTCTTGCTGTGAGTCTTTGTTCTAAAATGAAACACCTCTCATTCCACACGGTGAAGGAACGGCAGCCCCCACCCTGCTGTGTCCTCACACACACAATTGTCCCCGTATAAGGTATATTCTCCATGGCAATGAGCCCCCCGTCAGTGGGTGGGCGGCAGATGCTGTGCCTCACTGGTGAGAGCAGATACATGTCTATGGACATGTGTGATCCAGGCATTATGAGCCCGGTGCATTTATCCATCCCGGCTTTAGCGGGCTGCTCATTTGAAACATGAGCATGACTTCTTTTCTGAGGGTATTAGGGCTAATCCCTCGCCTGCATTTTCCTACATTCATATTCAGAGGATGAGGTGAGGATCAAAGTGATTGGCCTCATTCAGTGTGTTTAAACTTGGAAAAAAAAAGAGATGTCATTTCTG